TTGTCAGCAGTGCTCCAGCTCTGGGACATGACACAGTCCCCTTCCTGATTATATAGAATGAGTGTCCAGGGAGGCTGCAGCCTCTGTATCTGTGCCCTGCTCACACCTTGTGACCACATCTTTTGCTTTGGGACACATGCCTTTTCCCTGTCGTCAAAACTTTTTCTTCAGGTTTCCACCTTAAGGAAAAATTTGTTTCAAAACAGCAGCCCACATACTGAGGAATTATTCTAATCAAAACAAAGACAGCAGTGCTGCACAGACCTAAGCTGGCTCCCTATTAGTCTCCTGGTGTTTACAGTTTGGTTTGACCTATACAATAAATCCTAAGTGGCCTGAGGGCTGCCTCTTTCCATGTGTCACTTGTAGCAGAAGCACTACCCAGAAGGTCCTGATACAATTAATCTCCCCTCAAGAGAAATTTAGAAGTCCTGAAACCTCTCCTCAACTCTAATCCTTTTGTTTTCTTTCTGTCATTCAGTTCACTTTCCATGTGATTTTCAAGCTAGAGCTGACCAGAGTTGAAAGTAGTTTATAATGAAAACATGCTCCACTGGTTTATTTAATGGCATTAGGTTACAGAGAGACCATAGGGTGTACATCTTATTTTCACTGATAATCAGAACTTCAAAACCAAATTTAAAAAAAAATGTCTACTTGAAGCAATCATAACGTTTTTTCCTCCTTGTGCTGCAGCTAGGCTATTAACAACCTAGAAATCTGCCCTGTCTTGTATCTCAATTGATTTGAAATATGGTGGAAAACAAGCTTCCACTATTGCTAATTGTGCATAACGTTTTAACAGCTGCTGTGTTTCATAATAAATCTATGTATTTGGGTGAAGAAGCTAAGGGTTGGTGTGTACAGTGAAATTGCAAAAGCTCTGGGTTTTAAAAATATTGTCAAGGTTACAGGGCACCAAGAACTAAAAAAAAAAACACAACCAACAACAAACCCACAAAAGAACAAAAAAACCCTGGCTACTGTGGGGTAACTTAAAAAAGTTAATTTGCAAAGCAGTTTTTCAGTTTTGCTTTCAGGAAGTTGATAGAGAAGGTCTGCTTCTGCCAGACCTGCTTATCCAGACCAAGCAGCCAGCAGTCTGCCAGAGCCAAGGTGGAAATGTGCAACCCCCACAGCAGTGGCCAGGTAAGGGAAAGGGCTAGGGACAGCCTGGCTGCTGTGGGAGGGAGCATCAGTCCCCAGCACCAGGCACCAGTCCCCAGCTTGGCCCAGCTTGAGAGGATTTCTGCTTTCTTTCTCTAGCCTTGCTCACTACAATGGGACCATGCCAGCCTTCACATCACACATCTGCTGCACATGGACAGTGATACTTACCTGCCATGGATATTTCATGGAGACATAACACTCATTCCTGTCCTTCCTGAGTCAGTCAGTAGACCTTCTACAATGAGAGCTGAGCAGCCAGTGTGTGTGGTGCATGCTAAAAAGGAAAACCAGAATTCTTTGAGTTTATTTGCACTTGTGGTATTACCCCAAGACAGTACAGCAGAGAACCAGTCCCTTTCCAAACCATGCTGGAGGTAGGAATCTAATTATAATTGCCTTCAGTGCTGAAAAGCTTCTAAAAGCTCTTCCATTTTTTGGGAACAATGGTCTGTGAATCTCTCTAGACTGAAGATTAATGCACCTTCTTCTGCATCCCTGTCACTTGATTCAGTCATCTCCCTCTCCTGGAATGTGTGTTTGCCACTGTAAGCACACCAGAGCTCCAGGAGCAGGCAGCCCCTGCACAGACCTGGCCTGGGCTGCAGAGGCACATCCAGTATGTGTAAACTCCTGGAGAGGACTTGCTCAAAACTTCTAATTTTGGGAATAAAGCTAAGATTCTTTTTCTTAGAAATGTGACTGAGTGACATATATTATCCTCATCTTAGGAAACCTGAGTTAAGTGGGGTTTGAGCTTTGTGGTGGCTGCAAAGTACAGGTTTTAATGCATAAGAAAACTGATTTTCTTGCTGACTGATATTCTCAGAAAAATTCAGGGCAAAATCCATAAAATCCTCAGTGTTTTGTGCATTTGATCACATTATCACAGCGCTCATCTGCAAATCTCATTTTGATCAGCTTATATTGTCTTTTTCGGTATCTTGCTGATGACATCTGCTTCACATGGATTTGTTTGATGTCTAGTAGCCGTTTTGTGCTGTCCTTCAGAGTTTTTATTTCATAGAATCATATGCACAGCTTGCACTGGAAAGAACCTTAAAGATCACCTAGTTCCAACCCGCTGCCGTGGACAGCAACACCTTCCGCTAGCTGATGTTGCTCAGTGCCCCATCCAACCCAGCCTTGAACACTTCCAGGGATGGGGCATCCACAGCTTCTCTGGACTGTTCCAGTGCCTCACCACTCCCACAGTAAAGAACTTCTTCCTAATATCTAATCTAAACCTGCCCTCCTTGTCCTGTCACTACATGCCCTTGGAAATAGTCTCTCTCCGTCTTGTAGGCTCTCTTCAGGCACTTGAAGGCCAAATCAAGTCACCCCAAAGCCTTCTCTTTTCCAGGCTGAACAATCCCAATTCTCCTACCCTTTCCCCACAGAAGAGATGCCAAAATGTTTATTAACATGATCAACTTCTGTCTGAGCAGTTATGCTTTATGAACAGAGAATAAAATTAATATTTTTTTTCTTGATACATTATTTATTGCATGTTAATGAAGGCTGTAACCATGTGGAAGGTGTGTTATGCCTGCAGCTCTGTGCTTGGGTCAAAAAGCTTGGGGACAGGCCTTGAAAGCTTCACAACATTCCTGGGCACCCCACAGGTGTCTGACATGTAAACAACAGTATAATTCTGTCCATGAGAGACAGAGGAAATGATGCTATTGCTATTTTTCTCTATATGAAGCCAGGTAATTGACTGGATTAAAAAATAAAAGTTGTGCACTGTACAGTAAAGGCAATTTGCTGTGTAACTGATGTTTATTTTACAGGGCACCTCAAACATACAAGAGAAACTAGGAGAATCTGGGTTCTGTTACTTGTATAAAATGATGTCTTAGAAAGAGGCCCACAAAGTGAAATCTATCTCAGAATTAAATGAAGTGTCTCACATGGAAAATCTGACCCTCTCACATAGTGTTGTTTTCTGCCCCACCACACTGTGATCTGCAGTGTTTTCTCTCAGGCATTGCTCCCAGAGATGGAGACCTGCACAGCAGAGTGGCAAATAAGTGAGTTTTTGAATTTTCATACACAACAACCTGCTTTCCGCTGCTTGACCTCACACAGAGAAAGGAAAATGCAGAGTGCAAAATTCAGCACCCCAGAACTGCTTCTTACCTACTTTTTCACACTCTTCCCCTGTGTACAAATAAAACACAGTAGTCCTGCAACCAGCAGAAGTCTGCAGATATCAGCCAGAGTCTTCCTGGCTTAAGGCAGTGGACCTTCATCATGAGCTGTGTGTTCATTAGGTGGAATTCTCTCTCTCAGCTGAATTAAGCATTCCACATAAGCACAGGCACATCACCTATGCTCGTGCTGGTGTGGGTGGTGTCCTGTTGGTTCTGATGGCCACTGGGAGCAAAGTGATTTCTTTGCAGGCTGTTCCAGCACCCCAAACTGAGAGGCCCACACAGCTTCCAAACCCACGTGGCTCCCAGACCCCTAAGTAGCACCTAAATTAATTTTCTCCAACTTTTTTTCCTTTTGTTTTGCCCACAGTCAACTGTTTTTCCAAGTCACAGACAGCACCAGGAAGCTATTGGTTTTGTGCAAGGTGCCTTAATCTTAACATTTTTCTTAGAAATGTCACTCTGTTTTCACTCTCATAATTTCTGCAGGTTTTTTCTTTTGGCAGACATTAGCAATTGTTTTATCTCATGCTCTTGTTCCTCCATGTCTGCCTCAAGAAAGGATCTGTTACAGGAATTTTCTCACCCCAAAGAACTGTACCCTTGTAAGAACAAGCAGTAAAGTTTTCATGGTGGAGAATTTTGCCTAAGATATTCCCAGGAGATTTAAAGCCTGCTTTGCTTATTATGAGATTATTATTTTATTATGAGATTTCATATGTACTGATCAAACTCACCTTTTTCATTTTCCAAAGGAAAAGATGTAATTTTTACTCTGAGCATGATTTTCCAGTGTATTGGTTTGTTCTGCAGCAGATCTGCTTCTTACATCGAGTTTGCTCTAAATGCAGTGGAAGAAGCTTGTGGAAGCATCTTTAGCTCAACTATTTCTCTGATTTCAGTGTAACCTTTTATTCCCCTTTTGCGAGTCATGGTGTCCTTCAAATTTTCAAAGCACTGATTCAGATCAAAACTTTGGAATCATCCATAATGCTTTTGCTCAGTCCTTGGAGAAATTTTATTTTTTTTTTTTGTTTTTTTTTTGGTAATATGAACTCAGATCTTGACAGGTAGGTCACCAATCAGTTTTTCAGAGTTTTATATTTCTATTTTATTAAGTACACTTATAGTGACAGTTTGGTCTGTTGTTTTTTTGGTTTTTTTTTTTCTGAGATGTGATTAAGCCCAGTTAGTTTTGGTTTTGCATTTGAATTTTGCATTTTACTTTTATACTTTTATTTATTTGCTTGCATTTTATGTTGCACAGTTCTACCTTTTATTCCTGTTTCCTCTGGGAACTGACCTGACTTTAAAACAGCTTATGGATGGTCATAGATTGCAATTCTTAGCATATTTGCCATTTGACACAAAACTGTCTCCTCACTCTTCTGAAAATCACTTCTTTGCCTCAGGTCTTGTAAACTATCAAGTCTATTAATGCCTGTGTCTCTGCCTGTCTCTCTTTCCGAGACACTGTATATCACTTACTCCAAAACTCAGTATGCTTACAGTGCCCACAGGAATAAAAAAGCAGAAGACCTCGTAAGTTAAATAGTTTCCTAATTAACAGATTTAATCTAAAACATGCCAGCAACTTAGCTTGAGGGGGAGGAAGAAGGAGGAGAAACGTGCTATCCTTGACAATGCTCTTCCTGTGCTTATCTTGAAGGCACAATTATACACCTCTGGAAGGCTGCTGTACCCTGCACCTCCAGCCCTCTGCAGCAGCTGGAAGAGTGTCTTGCTGTACTTGTATCCCTTTCAGCCTTCTCTTTTACACTGCTTTCTTTTCAGCCATTTAAGACCAAGTGCTATTGTCCTCTGCTGCTGCTGCTGAAGCACGGCAAGACTTTGAAACAGTCTCCATGACAATCTGAGCTATGCAGTCTGGATCCTGACAGGGTGGTGCATGGCTGTGCTTGTATCCTGCGGAGCAAGGTACGTGCATGCAGCTGCTGGAGGATGTGGGTTAAAAACTGCTGGTTCCTCCCTCCTTTTACAACCGTGCATGGTGCTACGGGGAAACCTCTTTGCTCTGTGCTGCCACAATATCTCCTTCCCTGGAGATGGTCCCCAGGGGCTGATTCTGTCTGGTGTGAGGTTCAGAAAGGGATGAGAAATATTAATGGCTGAATGATTATAATGACTTAGAAAAATGGAGCTGAAAGTGCAGTGCATAGAGATCAAAATGAAACACAGTATCTGGCTGTGAGATTTGGAGTTATATCAAAAGGGAATTTATTCCTGCTTTTTAACTTCTTCTTACCTGCAGAGCTGAATTCTTAAAATATCAGTTCTTACCTATTATGGCAGTATACTGTGTTCTGTCCAGTATCTTCATGTAAAATGAAGTTTTAAAATACAAAAAGATGTGCTAGTTTTAGGTACATCAGCCATTCATTCAAAACAAAATATTCAAATTCTATGACTTAGAAAGTCCTGCATGGCAGTGGACTATTTTTTTCCTTAGCCTTATGATGTAAAAACGAGGACAAATGCTGTGGAATGAAAAAGAACATGAATTCTCTCTGATGAGCAGGATGTAACCCGTTTTCTGATTGCCTATGCTGATGTCTTTGCCCATTGTTTGAATGTGATAAAACAGCTTTATGCTGATTCTGCTTTAGTTATCATAAAATTCCTTCTTCTGGGCAAACTTCAGTCACATTAGTTTGATACTCTTTTATTACTAGGTCCTTTGTATCACATTTGAGCCAAGAAACACAATCAAAAGGTATCCTGAATACTGAAATACCAGATATTTGTATGTGTTTTTAATGGACCATGTGCAAATAGCCATATGAAGTTAGCGGAGGTGAGAACTGTATAGCATGACATATGGTGAATAAAATTGATAATATTGGAACAGTAATGAGAGCTATGTGATGCTTATGTATCTATTAATACCTGTATCCACATACACCCCCATGTATTCTAAATATATGTACAGTATCTCTAACTTTCAGCAAGTAAAATGAGAATTCATAATGCAGTAGAAGGGAAAGAGCATGAAAATGAAAACAAAGGCAAAGCCACAATAAAACTGAAGCAGTCAGGAGGAACAAAATGAAAAAGATACCTATTAAAATTCATTCTAGAAAAGGAGGATTGTGGATTTAGGGAGTTATTTCCAGTGAAAAAATGTTTGAGAGAAGCTTCTTGGGGTTTTTTTGCAGCAGAAATCTTTGGCCTTTCATGTGTACTGTGACCATAAAGGTCTTGAGACAGAGGGAGTAAGATAATACAATGTTTGGGTACTTTAAGATGGACAGAAAGCATTTTCTCCTTTCTGCACATGATAGACCCATGATAGACCTAGCCCTTCAGGAAATTCTCTATATCTGCTTTAACCTTGGCTCCATCTAGACGCTTTGGTCACCTTCTCTAGTGTATCAGCCTTTATGTTTACTGACTCGTGCCAAACACTCCATATGCTTCCTCTTTATGGACAATTTCTCTTTTACCTCAGCATGTTTTCTGACAGATTTTAATACCATTCTGAGGTTTCCCCCTTTTCTTTTCACCAGACTCCCATTTGTTATTTCACTAGGAACACAATATTACCTGCAAATCCTGCATCTTCTTTCATGCCGGGAATGGGCTCAGAGAGAATCTCAAGGACTACATGAGAAATATCCAAACAAACCTCCTGAGATCTCAAAATAATACCAATGCAGAAACCATTCTAAGTACTATGTTGCTAGGAGGGTACTAGGTCCTGTGGAAATACATCCTGATGGGAGTGAGGTCTGGCCTCCATGTTATAGGGTAGTAGCTCAAACAAAGAATATGCACATTTGGCTCAGTGCCAAGAGAGACCTGATTGGGAACAAGGCCAGGGGATTCAGAGCAAGAGACAGGACACTAGCATTGAGCCCAAGATACAACCAAAAGAGTAAGGGAAATAAGAAGACTCAGCACATCGAGTCTGGCATGGCTCTCTAGCTAAGCCCAGGCTGTGCAACTGTTATGTCTGTTATAGCTATCGTGAAGTCTGTCCAGAGGTAAAAGTCCTCTGGGTCTCTCTCACAAACCTGTTCTTGCTGACTTTTTGTTCCTGTTGCTGCCTCTATTTCTATTCTTTTCTTGCTTGCTAATTGCACCTTTTCAATGTTAATATCACATACTTGGTCACTACTCCATCTATGCATTTCTAATTTAATCAATCCTTGGGCACCAGCTCCTCTCAGTGCTCTTATGTGTGCTATGGTTCTTTAAACAGCCCTGTAGCCTCTGAAAATCTCACTAGAAAGGAAGCAGCATTCCCCACACATTTCATCTCACTCTTGCAGAGAATGATTCTTGCTTCTCTTAGCTGCTGCATCTTTGCATACACACACACAAGCTACGCTGACCCTTTCTGCCACCATATTTCTTTAACGTTTTAAAGTAACTAGCTAGGTTTTATCCTCTTAGTCCTTATGATATTTCTGTCATCAAAGAACCTTCCTCTAATAGTAATCATCTTCCAAGCTAATTTTCCTTTCTCTAGTGTTTGTCCTTTACAGTATTTTCCCAAGGCGATTCATGTTCTGTTACTTTTGGCCTGTATTACTAATTAATCCCTCTGCCCCATGTTGCTGGCCTGTCTGTTTTCTTTCCTCTTCTCAATCTAGGATAACACCCTGAATTTTATTAAAATGTTGTTTACACCCCTTTCTAGCTCATTCCAACTCAGATTATTCTGTAATTCTGTGATTACTGGAAATATAAAATCAGGCAAGACCGAAGACCAATCCTTAAATATTTACCTGTCCTCCCTATAAACTGGTGTCCTCTTTGTCTGTTAGCCTTGTTTTGGTCCTTCATTCCAGACTTCAGAACAAATGAGATATTCTTTTGCACAAGCAAGTGCAGTCAAGGTTTTTAAGGATGTTTTTGGGAAACATTGAAGCCAATCTTCCATTCTCTTGCTCTCCAGTTTTATGTCAGTAGCTGCCTGGATTTGAGGCAGAGGATGATCAAACCAATTGTTTAAAAAAATGGCTTAGATCCAAAAATAATACATCCATTCTGTTCCACTCACCATTGATTTGGTAATTCCATAAAAAAGTGTTATCTTTGTCAGGCAAGATCTATGCTTTATAAATCCTGCCTCTTATCATCATTGCATTATTCTCTGCAAACAAAGTGACTATTTCTTAAGAAGACATTTTCCATTGTTTTTGTCAAACAAAGTGACTATTTCTTAAGAAGACATTTTCCATTGTTTTTGTCTTTTTCCAGGGCTAGAAGCTAAACGTATATCATTGTAATTAGTAAGAACTTTCTTAATTCTTTTATGAATTCTGAGACAGTGCCACATTTGCTTTTCTGTTCAACATTGGCAGAAAGAGGACAAAGGCGTAGTTGTCTCCTTCCCTTCCTAGCACCTCCACACACCTGTGGTGTGTGATTCTAACCACTTGATGGTGCAGGAGTTGTGGTGGAATGTGGCTACCACTGCTGCTTCTAAATCTCAGGATTTTGCATGATAATTTATGATGAATGTTATAGTAGCTTTAAGGGAATCCAGGAAGAATGAGTTGAATCATATGTTTTCTATTTAGTTTTTAATTTTTGTTTCAGTTTCTCATTGCCAAAAGATTATTGTCAGGAAGTATTAAAGGTCCCCAAAGGACAGGCTGCCAGAGTGTGACTGTCTTATGCCTATGTGCCTGTATCATAAGATGGTCTGGCTATAATTGGTTTAAACACTGCTAGAATTGCCCCATAATTTCTTCCTGACTTATTCTGCAGCTGTGTCCAAGTTCAAAAGGTACATTAAGCAATGCTTCTGAAAGTACTTTGAGTTTTATTTCCACAAGGGCAATACTACTGACTGCTCAGTTCCTCTGCTGTCCTGTGCATTTGGCCACTACCAAATATCAGCAAACACAATCTCATTTCTGGTGTAAGATATTAGCCAGATATATAAGAAAGTAAAGTTAGGTTGCCTTGAGGTAGGGAGGTGAAGTTGACTCCCTTGACTGCTTTGAACTTCAGCACATGAAGTAGTACACCTTTCTCTTCTGCTCACCTTTCTCTTCTGCTAAGAGAAATAAATATTGGAAGGCCTGGAAAGCAAGTTCATCCAGAGTTTTCCTAGAGTCCTAGTATGAGATGTTATGGACTCATCAGTGTATTCACCTGAAAAATCAAGGTTGACTTTGAA